CCTTCCCAATCTTCATTCTCCCAGTGTACACACGCTTGTAATTACTGGTGATTGTGCTAATGCTACCCCAAGCAAAAGCATGCTGGTACTATGGAGAGGGAAGGAGAAGGAAATACCTTTAATTTTAGGCAATATACACGTGGATTATCTCTTTCTTTTCTACATCACTCGGTAGATACTGCACGTTAAGCAGCAAATCAAACATTAGCGACTCTTTTCCTATCCTTTTTTTTTTTCCTTTATGGATCACCAGGTGATCTGAAAATAAATGGGAGATTGCTTTGCAGACCAGCGAGAGGAGAAAAAGTGGGAAGACGACTTGTTAGTACTGATTCTAACCAAGGAAAATGCTGCCTGATATCACTCCTGCCGTGATTGCTCCTTACATAACTCCCCGTATTCACTGCAGACTGCTTCGCTCGGGGCGGGGGGGGAACCGTGTATAATACAACATCGGGCCTTCTGAGCGTTTCCTTCTCCTCCTTCAGGAGAGCGTGATCATTAACTTCTGTGGTCATCATTTGGGTCTTGTAAAGGAGCCTGAATGGTCTTTTTCTTAACCTCTCTCTTTTTTTTATTATTTGTTCAGATGACATTCTCTGTTCCGATCGCCCCCGCCCTGCCGGATGGCGAGCGCACAAACACACACACACACTCGCTCTCTCTCACACCCCTTTTCTTTTCATCATCAGCAAATAAAGATTAGGTGGGCAGATTATAGAAAGCGTTTTCAGTCCTGTGCTGATCTTTATTCCAGAGCCTTTGTGATGATATTGATGATGATGATGGTCAAGTGGACAGTTTGATTTTTGTGTTTGGAGCTAGTTATAAAGAATCAATATTATATCAAGGGGTAACTTTCGTGATAAAGGACTTTAACCACTACGGCTATTCATCATAAGTCTGTAGCAAGCAGATAGGTCAAAAGAAATTATATTGCACTAAAGAGTGTGTCTTCTTATCTCTCCTATACCAGGGGAATAAGGGACAAGCCGATCGATACAGTAGCTGCTGTATACTTCTTGCAATTATCAATAGCTGATTTCGTCTTTTGAGGCCTGCATCTATTAATACAAACTAATAATAATCTTCTGAGCATATCTGTAGCCAAGGGGGTGAAAGTTTTTATACTTGACGGCACGATTTTTATAGCTGGAATTACTGAACGATGTTATGTTTTGTGTGTGTCAGTGTGTCTATGCATGTATATATACATGCATTTTAATATTCATCTCACTAGTAATTTTGGAAGCATGTATATTTTTGCACAGGAGCTAAAAATACTAATTTTATATGTAAATTGTGACTATTTGCACCTCCTTGAGTATACTTTGACAGACACGCATTACAGTCCAAATACAGTATTTTAATATATATACCACCTATATTTGTGTCCATCTATGTGTTTATGGCATGTATGCATGCTCTTAAATGCATGTTGCCTTGCTAATAGCCCCAGAACATTTTACAGATATTCCACAGAGTATTTAAAATTGTTGCTTAAATTAATGTGTCATCTGTTAGGTTAAAGAAGGAAGTGGATGGTAATTAGAGTTTGCTAAGTGTGAGCATAAGCTTTTGTGCATATGAATCGATGTTTATTTAGATCCAAGAATGGTATGATATTAAATAAAAAGAAAAGTTACTTAAATGTTTAAGGCAAAACGTTTAAGCACGGCCGTGCTCTATACCGGTTCTATAAATCTCATAGTGGGGCAAGTTACTTTCAAAAAAAAAAAAAAAAAAGTAATAGAAAAGAAACATCTTTATAATTGACGTTTGACATGCTGTTTGGGTTAGGCTGTGGTAGACCAAGCACAGATTTCCCTCTGATGGAAACATTTATCATCGTGATTGCTGCAGAGTGGCAGGTGGTGTTATCAATTACCTCTTCTTACCAATAATAATATTAGTATGGTAATATCTTTGCTCATGTGAGAACGAATTAGCCATCAGTTGTTGCAGCTTTAAATAGACAAAATTGTGCTGAATTTAACCCCAGGGTCCTCAAACAAAAGTTATGGTGCAAAAAAGGGGTGGGAATATACTACTTCAGCTTTCCAGGAAGAGCACGAGACGACAGAAAATGAAGTCGAAATAATTGCACGTCCTTTCGAATAAAGTTGCTGAGCAAAATAATAGCAATAAAAGACAGTAGTCGGATTATAGGAAACGTCACATCCGTCTTATCTGCACGTTGGTAATTTTGACGGGTTTAAGAACAACAACCTTTTATAAAGCATAAGTGTAGACAGAACTACTTATACGGTCTTTGAAGAGTCGATCTTGCAGATAAGCTTTCTGAAGGTTTTTATTCCCCTTGAATGAGGATACAAATTAAAGCAAACCCGTAACCAGGTGTCCCATTAATGTAAAAAAAAAAAAAAAAAAAAAAAAAGTATTAATTGATATACAATATTATTAAGTAGACAAAATAATAACGCGTCTCTTCTCAGGATGAAGGAAACATCGCAATAAAAAGAAGACAAGTGGCAAATTCGATTTAATTACGGAGAAAATAACTTCTGCATCCCTTCCCTGTCGGAGCATTTCAGCAGACCGACCAGTCCCGGAGAGCGGACGCGCGCAGGACGCGGGGACATTTGCGGGTGCCGGCCCCGCACTGCCTGCGCGCACAGCCCTAGCCAGTGCGCAGAGATTTACGCGGCTAATCAGTTCCCCCCCCACACCCCGAAAAGGCCACGTTTTTCGTAGCCGACTTAATTTATTATTTTTCTCGCCCTCGAGCCAGGAAGATTAATTAAAAGGTTCGTGGAAAACTTTGCGGCGTAATGGGGAGACGCGGGGGGAGGGGGGGGGGGGGGAGGAGGAGAGAGGGGCCGGAGGAAACGCGTATCACTTCATAACTTTCCACTCGCCTCCCGAGCCCTCGGCGCCCCCAGGGTTTTCCGCACGGGTCGGGTAGAAAAGTTTCCCCCTGGGATCTGCGCCGCTCCCAGAGGAAGGTCCCCGCCGTGCCCGCTGCACTCGGGGGGCTGCCGGCGCTTCCCGGCGGCGGCGGGGGGGCAGCGTCCAGCAGCTCGCCCAGCGGCTGCTCCTCGCCCCGGGAGGAAAGTGGGAAGGGGAGCGGTGTAAGGGAGAAGGAGCCCGTAAAATGTATCACTTGTAACCCTAGAGTATGTTAATGCCAAGAGATACAAATCTGGTAATTATGCCTTCCTTGCCTGTTGTGTTCTCCATTGTTCATTAAACATTAAAGACGGGACTGTTTAATTTTCCACTTAAAGATTCTCTCACGTCCCGAAAAATCATATTAATTTTCGCTCGCTTTACTTTTTACAAAGGACAAAGTTTTTTGTTTTTATAAAAGAGCTTTTTATTTTTTTCCATTTTCTTTTTTATTTTTTTTTTTAATCGCGCTATAAGAAAGGCACCTTTAAAACACTCTTCAAGAAATCTTATGCTGCTGAGAGAACTACCAAGCACTGAGCAATAGAAACATAGGGAGAAAAAAACGTTGCTTGAGCAACAAGAACAACTCTCTTCCGAAGAGGACTGGACGAAAATTGACCCATTTCTGGTTACTACCGCAATGGGTAAAAAATGCCAGGGCAAGGTTAAAGTTGCCTCTTTCATTCCAGGCAAATGTTTCAGTCACAGGAGGTAGCTGAGATCCTTCAGCTAACTCAAATCGGGAGAAATGTACTTCTCTGCTGTTAAGGAGAAGCCACAACTCCGGCTCCCCAGTCACGACTGCGGTGCGGGGGTGACTTCAGCGCACGCTCGCTTTCACCTGCACTGTGCCTGCGATATAACGTAGCATATACATACACGCAAAACGTGTTATCCATGTGTGCAGGGTGCAATAAATCCCTACTTCTGATGGGGAAAAAAAATGCTCAATTAATAGTCTCATCCCCTCCCACTTCATATTAGAAAACACATCAGATTTCAGCCATCGCGACCGTCTCTAGACAGTCTCATTACGACCAAACTTTCAGGAAGCATGGATGCACGGAGAGAACATACGTTAGAATTTGTGGACAGCAAACAAGTTTTGTTTTGTTTTGTTTAAATTATAAGGCAGGGAATCATTGCAAGAGGTCTCGTGTAGACATCTTGCTGAACGAAGGACAGAAAAGTATGCTCGTCTAAGAGCTAAGTTGAATTGATTTGCCGTTTCGGCGCTGTTTCTCTTAAGGGTCGTGACTGTTTTTAACGAATGTCTGCACCGCAGAAATCGCCGAGAGCATGCATTTCAAGAAACTATCCGAAGTGGCCTAAACTGTCGCCTCTAACTTTATTTGGTTTGCCTCCCGGCAGAAAAGCGAGACATAAGCCGAAAGCCCAGAGACGCGGTATCACAATGCGCGAGATAAAGAGAGCTATCACCAGGGAAAGTTTACACCGAGGAGCCTCCCGCAGAAGCCGGGGTTAGCGTGTTTTAAGGACTAGGGCTGGATTACACAGGCTGGAGTAGAGGCATTAGGAGGAAATCCCTTTCACTCATCCCTGCCTCGCTCCCCAACCCTCCCCACCCCACCCCGCGCAGGGGACGGTGCGGGACAGCACTGAGCAGCGCGCAGGGACCCATCTGCCACCAACACTTAAAAAAAATAAAAAAAAGGCGGAGGGGGCCGCTGGAGGAGAGCCCCCCCCGGCACTCGGCGGCGCGGGGCTGCGCGGGGGGGGGGCAGCGCGGTGGCGATCGGCGACAGTGGGGTACATCCTAGCGGCCGCTGCCTGCCATGGGAGCCCCGGAGGAGGCGGGTAGGGACGGCGACGGAAAGCGGCAACTTGTGGCGGCGGCCGGGCCGCCCCCTCCATCCCTCCCTCCATCGCTTCTTCCCTCCCTCCTCCCGGGGGACGGACGGGACGGGACGGGACGGGGCGGGGGAAGGCGGCCCGGCTCCCCGGCAACTTGTAAAGTGATAAAGGGGAGAGGGGCGGAGGGGGAAGGGAAGGCTCTGCCTCCCCCCTCCCGCCTCACTTAAAAAAAAAAAAAAAAAAAAGTGGGGGCCTGGGAGAAAAGCTGCTGTTGGGAAAGTGCGTGCGGAGAGGGAGGCTCGGCAGCGGCGGGGAGCTGAGCGAGCTGCGGGGCTGGGGCAGCCCCGGCGGCAGCCCCGGCAGCGCCGCACGGGAGGAGGCGGAGGAGGAGGAGGAGAGTAGGAGGAGCTGCCGTGTGACCCGCACGGCTCCCAAACTTCAAAGTTTATCCGCCCGAAATCGAGAGCGGCCGCGGTGCGCGCACCGCTCCTCGGCACGGAGCGCAGGCATCGAGCGGGGGAGCCGCCGCGCGGGGACGAGGCTGCGGTGGCCGCTGCGAGCGAGGCGAGGAAGGGGAGGGGGGATCGCCCTCGCGACAACAACAGCCACCCCCCACCCCCCAAATCTGGGAGAGGATCGATACTATTCGCTGGAGACCGAGGACTTGCTCGTCGGCGCACACGCGAGACCGCTGTCATCAGCTAGCAGGACACACAACTGAGCTGGGGAGGGGGGGTGAGGAGTGTCACAAAAAGTCATTACAACCTGAGAGAGAGGGGGAGAAAGAAAAAAAAAAACTTCCTACCAATGGACAACAGGAAGTGACCACCACCACCAACGGGGAGTCTCTGCTTGGAGAAAGAAGCTGCAAGACAAAGAAGAAGGAAGGAGAGGTGAAAGACAAAACTGCCCAAGGTCTTCTGTGTGTGTGTGTGCGTGCGTGCGCTTGCGAGAGGAGAGAACAAAAGTCAGCCGGGAAGGGGAGACGGAGAAACAGAGACGGAAAAGGAGACAGGATGGAAGAGCTAAAGGCGAGCATGTGAAGATTAAGAGAAAAGAAGAGCAGAGCAGCACACACGCACACCGAGAAGAAAGCGGAAAGGAAAGAAGCACACACAAAAGTTTCTTTTCCTCCTGCAAAGAAATTACTCACACGTACACAGAAATCAGATGCTTTGCAGATCAACTTCTGGGGAAAGAGAGACCAGGAGGAGACGAGGACGCAGAGTGATGTGAAGAAGGAAAAAAAAAAAAAAAAAAAAAAAAAGCGAAGAGAGCAGAAGAAAGCGGAGCAAAAGAAACTGAGAGCCGGGGGGAAGAAAGAAAGACAGAAAGGCGAAGATCGTGACCTCTCCCAACAAGTGAACCTTGCACATATGTTGTGTAAAGTGTGTGCAAAACAGAGCCCTCCTGCGTGGTGCGTGTGTGTTTCTCTGCCGCCGCCGCTGCTGCCGCCGCCGCCGCCGCCGCGGTCGGTGCCTCTCGCAGGCGGCGCTGCCGGTGCCGGGGAGCCGCATCATTTGGCGGAGCGAAGCGGCTAATTGCGGAGCCCCGTCCTTCATTTACATATGCAGCCTGAGCCCGCTGGAGCCGCGCCAATCCGCGCTCGCCCCCAGCACCATTAATCGCCATGCATTATTCACCACCGTAATTATCGAGCCCCATGCGCGCTCCGCGCAGCCGCCCCAGCCCGCCGCGCACGCAGCACCGCACCGCGCACACCCCGCCCGGCTGAGCCCCCGCTCGCTCACCCGCTCACTCACTCTCAGTTTGGTTGGTTAGCCTTGCTTTTTTTTTTTTTTTTTCCTCCTTTTCCTTGGGGTTGGTTGCCTTTTCTGTTGTTGTTTGGTTGGTTTGTTCTGCAACTCGACTTTTATTTGCGAACAGTTATTTCCAGCCCCCACCTCTTCCCCCCCCCCGCCCTTCCCTCGTTCCCAATTCCTCCCCCCTTTCCACCTCCACGTCGCTGATGCCTCTGCAAAAAGCAGAGTCAAGACGGCTCAGTTAGCAGCATGTCTCGTCGAAAGCAAGCGAAACCCCAGCATCTCAAATCGGACGAAGAGCTGCAAGCGGAGGTAGTTTCTGAGCACGGTAAGGGCTCCCGGAGCCTCTTTCTCCCTCTCTCTCTCCTTTTGTGAGTCTGTTTCGGACGGAGATAGGTGGATTTATGGTGATGGTGAACATGGGAGCGCAATTACTCTGCAGCGGGAGAATGGGAATTAGAGCAGCTGGGGAAGAGGCAGCGGAACTGAGAAGTTAGCAGTTTAGCCAAGTTTCTGCAGCCCACCCCCTGACTAACCAGCCCTCCCAGCGGCTCCTTCCCGGCCTCCCGAGCGCTTTTATTACGGCGGGGCTCGGCAGCGGGACTCGGCCCTCCCTCCCCGCTGACCCGGGCCCGGGCAGCTGCAGGAGCGGGCACTCCGGAGCAACGCCTGCCTCCTCCTCCTCCCTCTCCCTCGGGCTGTTTTGTACGTCTGCTTTTCTGCTTGTTTTCCTTTAGTTTTTGTTGTTGCTGCCCTTGTGCTTCTCGGTCGCCCTTTTTGCTGTACCCCTTTTATTTTTTTTCCTTTTTCTCCCCCCTCACTCCCTCCCCGTGCTGGAGCCATGTTCCCCTCGCCCTCCGGCCGCGAAGTTGGCGGCGGCCGGGGCCGGGCTGCGGGCACGGGGGGCTCCCACGGGCCGGGGGCTGCCGGGGCAGCCCTAGGCGACCGGTGCACAGGGCTCTCTACCGCCCTGGAGGAGGGGGCGGCGTGTTGCTGGGCGGCCCGGCCGGGCTCCCGCCGCCCCCCAGCCGCGGGCAGCCTTCGGGGCACCGGGGGTCCCTCGCTGCGCGGCGGGCGGGGGCCTTCGGGATTGGCGGATTTGGCTTTAATGTTTCTGAAGATCTCGAGCAGCTTTTCACCTTCCCCCCCCCCACCCCGCCCCCGAGCCGCCTAGCTCTGCTGCGACCATAATTCTTACTGGGGGTGGGTGACGCGGAGTGCCACCGCCGCCACCGGCCCCTGTCGCGCCGGCCGCAGGAGGTGGGGAAGGGGGATTTTCTCACCCATCCGCCATTCTCCACTCCTTCCCCACACGCAGACACACGCACACTTGCTTTGAAGTATCTGGGCTGCCCAGGCTGCTAGTGAACAAGTGTCTAAAACTGAGCAGATCTGGGCTGTAGTTAGTCCGAATTTCCACCTTGCTGTGTGTTTTTTGTTTGTTTGTTTAGAAGAGGACTGCCTTTTTAAATTTAATTTGATTTAATTTCATTTATATATTTTCTAATTTCCTGCATAGTCCTAGGCATTGCTGCACGCAAAGGCATGCCACAGCCCATCCTCACTTTCCCTGAGCTAAGTTGAGGGCTTCCACTTAAAAGTTTTTCTTTTCTTCTATGCATGGAAGCTCACTGCTTTCTCAGTTTCTTGCATAACCAAGTGGGAGCCACAGTGCTTTCTGTGTAGGCCCCTTGCTCACTGGTTTATCCCCTCTCCCTCCCTTCAAAAAGAAAGAGGGGGAAAAAAAAAGTCATTTTCCTGCTTCAAAACTATAATGACTTCTAAGTTGCATCTGGAGGGAAAGAAAGGCAACGAAGTTGAAGCCTGAGGAGGATTTTGACTATTGTATCTGAACTTTGCAGTCTTGAAGCTTAAGGCAGCATGAATCCACTTCATCAGGTTAAAACATCTGTCAGACTGGCAAATCTTTAAGCCCCATGCTCTTTCCCAGGGTATTTGGGGAACCAGGGAATGAGTTCCACACTGTCCAGGGTAGTTAGGAAGGGACTGCTACCACTGATTCAGGAAAACCCACTTGGGTATTGACTCTAACAGGAACACAGAGAAATGCTTCCTTCTGTCACACTACAGAAGCAAAGCAATGCACATTTGATTTTTATTTTTTTTTATTTCTTTTTTTCTAGAAAACAGTGGTAATGTAAAATAAATTCATATAAGCAAGTGGATGAGAATTATAATTTTATTATGTAAACAAGATTAGTTGAGCCTAGTTAGGGTGGGTTCTAGGTTTGAGAATTTATCACTAGTATTATAAACTTTTAAATGCTCCAAATCCATTTCAATACAGAAAAATAAAACCCTACTGCTTCATTATGACACTTCTGGTGAGTTAATAAATTGAAAAAAATTGTTAAATTAGGTTTTTGTTTTGTTTTGTGAATCTTATCTATGTAGCCATGTCACCCAAGATTAGAACAAGAGATATGCTAAAAAGAAACGCTTGCATATGGTGGGTAGATTAAGGACAAAGAATCTTTTTGTCATGGAAATGTTTTTTTTTTTTTCCCTTTTTTGGGGGGTTTTGTTTTGTTTACTTCATCACATAGAATTTCTCACACTTGGTTTGTTTTGTATTGCCCTCAATGACTACATGATCAAATGAATGGATTTATTTCTGCCGAATGAGAAAGACAGTCTTTCCATCAAAAGGACTACATTGCATCCCAGTGAGGAATTTTAAAGCGTTATTATTGTGGTCCCTGAATAGCACAAAATCGGCTTTCACAGCAGCCCTAAAATGCAACAATGTAAATACTTTTCAGCCTTAGAAGGCTGTTATCAAATTGTGCTGTTTTCTTTTATTAAAACATATTTTAATTAATAGAGTGAAACCCTTCATAGTTAACAATTAACAAGCTAAAGTGGAGCTCTTGGTTTTTCACTCTCCTCTGAGAAATGTGAACAAGGTGGACTCAGCATACACAAGTAGAGGGCTATCTAGTGTACATTAGTGTAATGTAAATCATTTACATGTTATATTATGAAGCCTAACGATTGCTATACTGAAAGCAATTTTATAGGCCAGATATAATGAGTGCTCCCAATCTCACAAATTAAAACACTTATTGTCAAGTCAGTATTTTTCATTTCTATTCACAGCTGTAATCAAGATATTGCTACAGTTCCTGAGCATATTTTGCAACAAGCCAAAAATAGTTTCCACAGTGCAAGAATATTTGTACTTTTTTTTTTTAAAGCAAACTGTTTAAGCAGAATTGTTTGATACGTGTAGCTTTTTCATTAATATGGTTGTTATCTTCAATGAGGGGAAGCTGTTGTTAACACAAGATTAAGCAAATGAAGCTTATTATTTATTTAATGAAATCATGTTTAATACCACCTCAAAATAGATTTTATTAAGTGAAGCATTTCAGAATGAATGTTCCATAAACAATCCTTCGAGTGAGGGAACATTCATAATAGCAGAAAGAAGCATGGCAGTTTGGGGAGCAGAATGGCAGATAAACATTAGGCCATATCTTAAGTTGACTGGACCCACAGTAACTTTTGTGGTAATGCTATCAAGGAAGTTTAATAATTGTAATATATAATTTTATAGCCAGCCTGGACTACAGTATAATAAAACTGCATTCAGACAGGGCAATGTCATAACAGTGAGAAATTGTTTGAAGTCTGAAGATAATTGGCAATGTCATCAATTACAGATTTACAATCAAAATCCTTTAAAGTTATTTGTTGAAATGGAAATGCTGAAATATATATTTTCTAATAATTTAGATAGGAAGTGTTAACAAACAACTAGCGATAAAATATTGCTTGAATAATTGAACTGTGGAAGAGTGAACAAATTATATTTCCAAAAAAAAAAAATTAAAAACACTGTAAGGTTACTAAAGTAGAAGACATGATGGCAATATTTTTTAAATAGCAGCAGAAGGTTTCAAATGGCTACCCATAGAATACAATAATCTCAGTTTCTCAGTAAATGTAAAGCTGTTCTCAGTAAATTGTAATAGCTGGAATTACATTTCTAATACACTTCTCTAATTCAACAGATTACAATTGAATCAGAATTATAGATACAATGCAAATGCTTTAACTCTGATTAATTTTTATATGAAAGCTTGGATATAACATTTCTATCTTTAATGTAGGGATAATAAAAGTTTGCGGGCTTTTTGTATGTGTATGTGGAATGCTGAGAAGTGCTTCTTACAGTGTGTAAGTGTGGTTCTAGTAAGGGTGATGAAAAATGATCACTTTGGACTTTTTCATGTGAAGCTACTGGCAAGTATGTATCATTGTTCAGTCTGAGGTGAATGGGATACCTTAAAGCAAACTGTGTAACTGACAGTTTTCTAATGTGTTTTTTTTTGCAATCATTTTTTAAATGTTGGACCTATTTGTTTGGTTTTTGTTTTTGTTTCACTCAACTCTTCAATGCACACAGTATTATCTAAACAAACGTTTCTTTTTCATACTGGTAATGTGGAATTGGTGGTGCAGTTTTGAACAGTTTGTAACTGCACTCTGTATTCTTTTGGAGTATGTACACAGACACACATGCTCCTGCCACAGAAATGATAGTCCTCTATGGAACAGCCAGCTTCATGTGAGCATGTTTACTGTATCTGCAAATATATAAGATAGAAATACATTTTGGAAGGATGTTCATGCTTTCTTGCATTCATACTTTCAAGAATATAGGTTATTCCATATCATTTAGATACTACTGCCTTTAAAACTTGAAAAGTCACAAGCAGCTGTCAGTAAACATGAAACTTAAGCTATTTTTGCAAATGTCTGTTCTAAGGCAACTTCAAGAAAGATTTTTGTTGTTGTTTTTGAAAAATAAAAGGCCAAATATTTATTGTAATAAATTGCTCCTTTGATAAGAAAAGGTAATTGAAACTTTATATAAATAGTTCTGGTATTACGATGGAGACTGTAATATTAAAACAACATAATATCTGAATTTATATATATATTTAATATTCTTACTATTTTGATCAGTATTAGCAATAGGAAAAAAATGTAATAATAAGGAAACTAAAACAATAAAGCAGTTTGATAGTGTGTGTATATATAAATGATGAAGGTAGCCCAAATTGGGTCAGATTTTATCTGGCGCTGATAATGATCTTGAGGAATTCTTATTTCTTCTAAGGTAGACATTAGGACTCTTGGGGAGGAAGGAAGTTTTGAAAGGTATTGGTTTAGATTCTGTGTAATTAAGCTATTAATATGCATACATTTAGCTGTTGATAATTACTTGTCCTTGCCTAAGGAAGAGGAAAAGCTACCATTCAAAAAAATAAAAAATAAAAATATGTAGCATTATAAAGAAGGAGTGAAAATATCCACATTATTAATGAGTATCAGTGTCATTTCTGAAAAAGAGTTTGAGTCCTGGGAATATTTTCGGGATATTTTTTCCTTCATTTTATTTGTTGATTACCTAGCCAGGACAAGCATATCTGTTGACACAAGTCCATCATATCTATCAGTCAGGACATGAGTCAATCACTTTTGTTGATAATAAGCCAGATCTGGCAGGAAATTAATTAGCTGAGTACTGACACTTAGAAAATAAAACAGGCTAAAAACATTCCTTCTGTAACATTGCATTTGTAAAATGACAGTAATTTGCTATAAATTTTTCAGAGGAAGCATGAATAAATACAGTTTCAGCAGCAATTTTTTATCAGTTCATACATTTCAATGTAAAGGGCCAAAAACCTGTTTCCTTTACCTGCTTAAAACAACTAAACACAATGAAAGCTTTCCAGTAATTGGGGGGGGAAAAAAAAAAAAAGAATTTGGAGCAAAATATACTTTTAGGAGGTGGTTCAGTTGTCAAGCTGCTGGCCATAGAGTACATTACTTTTTTGTCAAGGGAAACCCCTTGAAATTGGAAAAGCCAGAAAAATAATTCTTTAAAAAGATGATAGAGTGCACTTCTGTGATAGTAGACTAAAGAGGGATTTTTTCATATTATCTTGCTGTAGCTAGGGTGTACATAGTGAGCATGCAGTGAACATTTGTTATGGGGTAAGTTAATCTTTAAAAAAAAAAATAAAAAGGCTTTCTACAACTCTTATTGTTAATCTCTAATATTGCTTTTTCCCCTTTTCCAACCCCCTCGCCCCCTAATTTGGACCCTATCAGTGGTTGAAAAAGAAGCAGAAAAAAACCCCGAACTTCTGCCCGAGAGCGAAACATGCCGAAATGGTTGGGAAGGCTGTTCGTCTCCTCCAGGAGCTGCGGCCCGGCCGGGTGGGTGCTCGGGGCTGGGGGCTCGGGGGTGGGTGCTCGGGGGCGGCGGGCGGCTGCTGCCCCGTGCGGGCGCGCAGTGGCTGCTGCAGGCGCGCAGCCCGGAGCCGGGGAGAATGAAGGTGGGGATTGCAGAGTGCCAGAAAGCTTCCCGAGGACTTCTCCCTGAGGGTGGGTAGTTAGAAGTGCTTTGACAAGGCTTGCTGATTTAACCTTTGCCTGCTTTGCCCTGCCAGGGGTGGCCACTAGATGTCAAGCTCATAATACAATTAGTACATCTGTGCAGTTGACCTTGGCAGCACGGCTTACCACTGTTCTGTTAAGTGTTAACACTGAATTTGAGTGTTAACTAGAGATCCCTGTGAGTTTGTTACATGCTGTACAGCTTATCAAATGCTCATCTAGTTCAGCACAAGTGTTTACAGTTCTTAAAGAAGGAAAAAGGTTTCCTTTTGTGAAGCCCAGCATCTTGAGCTGCTTAATTAACCCTGCAGGTGCCACAGTATTTTTGTTTCAGTTAATCAAAACTGATTTACCATTCAATGTTTCAGAAGATCCGTTCTACCAACACCATTCGATAATTTTATTTTATCATTTTGTTGATGTAATAACATCCCCAAAGCTGGAAATGATGAAAGCTAACGGATTTGTTTAGCTCTCTCTGTGTTTTGCTATCCAGTGCAATACTGCAGTACACAGAATGGCAAATGAGCAAAATGACTGAGCTACATGATTAGCATTGAATCACTTAGCATTCGTTCTTTCAGGCACTCCTGTACATGAGTAATTTTACTCAAAGGAGTAGTGCCATTGACTCCAGTACTTGTAAATTCAGTTTTGAGATGCTTAACAGATACAGGATTGAGTCTCCACGTTGGCTTCTCTTATTGTGATCCTTCAAACACAACTTCATCAGCATGCCATGGTTGTTCAAAGAGTGGCTGGCTTCATTCTGTAGGGTGTCGGTTAGATCGTTTAAGGTGCAATTAGTAATATATGTTTCAAAATGAGAAAGTTATGCAGAATCTAGTGCTCTGTTTCTCACAGTTTAATTGTTTGCTATTAAATATCTTTATATATATATATATATCAGCTATATTAGATATACCAATTATATTTTTTTTAGGATTTCCAGTGAAACTTGGTGTGTTCTAAATACACTTAATTCCTACAAACATTAGAACAAATTCTACACACTCTAAAATTAATCTATGCATGCCATGAAAGCCAACTGAATAGCTCTTTATATAATGTTGAAAAACATAATGCACATCTTATTTAATTCCGTATCTTGCACAAATATTCAAAGAAGTTTGTGAAGATCTGTTCCACATCTGTGTACACATAGCAAGGCATCGGTGTTTTAGCTAACTAGAGCTTTATTGCAAAGATCAGAAACTGCAAATGTTTTAAACAGATTACAGTTAGTGTCTGTGCCACAGGTGGCTGTTACTTAACAAATTCTGAGATTTAGGCTGCTGAATAGATCAAACCAAGTGTGCCAGGTCAGTACCATTTCTTACATAGCAAGAGTGCCCTCCACTGTTCAAATCTATAACCAACAGCTTTTGTGGTCTGAGAAAAAGGACAGAAAATTTTTCTATTGAGTCTGGAATTTCTTCTACATTGTTAAACACAGTAGGGGTCTCTATTTGTCTCCTCCTGTTTCACAGCTTGGGCTCAGTATGTGATAATTCATCTTTCTTTATGGGATTCAAAGCTATCATAAAGAGTTAAAAAGAATTAATTTGCAAGAAAATAAACGTGTTCTAACAATTTAAGAAAACTTTCTTTAAAAGCTCTGTCAATTATAAGATATGATAAAGCTAAGGAAAAAGTAATACTGTTCTTCTCAAGGATCAGTACTTTGTTATAAAGCTACTGTTTCCAAATGAATATAATTTTGAAAACAAATTCGTGTTTTTGACTATATTTTCTTACTTTATTTAAATTGGTATAAAATAAGCTTGTTTCTTATGATACTAAGAACAGTAGATTATCGTCCTGTCTGTGCTATGTTCAGTTTTATTCATAATATTTCATGCTTAAATACACGAAAAATGCTGTGAGCTTCACTTCGAAACATTTCCTAGATTTGCATGAGATCTTACGTCTTCATAGTTAGCTAATTGTTTTACCTTTAGCCAATCTTAATAAACGTCTTCCTGTGAAACCTTCACAGTTTATATGCTGCTTCTCACCTGAAGATTGTGTTTTTTCATCTTGAAAGAAATTCCCACATTTAGAAAAATTAATTCATTCTCTATATGCACCTCTGAGTGACTGAAGCTGAGTTAGAAATAATAGCAGTTCATACAACATTTTTCTATGCTTTTCATTATTGCATGCGATCTAAAAAGTTTCAGAAAATATTTTGTTGACACGTTTGCTGAACTCCTTTCCATGACACTTCTCCAGTGAGAATAATACAAGAAGGTATAAGCAAGTTGAAATAGATAAAAGCAGAGAAAATGATTATTCTCTTACTTGATTTTATCCAAGTATTTTATGAATTATATGTAATTTGAGACTTAGGTGATTCAGAGTAACAGATTAGCAAAAACCTGAATTAACAAAGAACATCTGATAGGTGTACAGAATACACCTATTTAATAAAATTCAAAAGGTGCTTTCAAAAGGTAATACTAATAACACTAGAATTGATTTAATTTAACATAATATTAAAAAAATTCTGGAGCACAGATGAAACAGTGGAGTTAACTGTGGCTTTTTTTTTTTTTTTTTTGACCAAAAGCTGTTGGTCCTGAGAAAGGCGGCATTTACAGTGTATGTTGTTGGAATTAAGCTGACTGCAATGTTTAATTTCTGTAATTTCAGTCCTTGTCACAAAAGTAAAGTAGATGGCAGTATTTTTGAAGCATCTTATTATATTTTTCCTTGCATATGATGCAAGACTTAGCTCTAACATGGAACAGAAAAATGTGTGCCTGACATAAAAATACAGAACTAGTAAAACCAAGCTTACAAATCCTCTGTGTGTGTGTGTAGTCAGCAATGGAGACAGTCTTTTCTTAATTATGCATGTAATATTCTGATGGTAGCTGAAGGAACCCTGGCACCCTCTCAGTCCTTTCCCCGTTCTCTGCCTTTCTGACTGCGAGAAGGAAGGTCAGCGTCACGCTCCCCACATCCACGCATTGCTCCAGCCCAAAGAGCGTTGGGTGGGCACACTTTGTAATGGTGGGAGAGCAAATTCTCCCAGCATCAATCTCTTGTGCCTCCTTCACTGAGTCAGCAGAGCACCTTGATAGCTTCAGATATCACAATCCCAAAGTGACTTTCTCAAAATGCCTTAGGTTGAATTTTTGTAGGCTAATTTTAGGGCCAGACCCCACCAATGCAAACTGGCAGCACTTCGCTGGAGCCACTGCAGCTCTGTGGTTTAGTTGGTGCCTGCTTAGGAGCTTGCCCTGGGTACATTTTGAGAGATGCTGGCTGCAATTTTTCACCGATTTTCATAGGGTAAGCCTTATGTGCTGTAATTCATCTTGCATGCCATAGCAGCTTCAGATTAGTCTGTTAGCTGTTAGACTGCTAATGAGAAAAAGAAAATAACTGAGAGGTTATTAGTGGCTGAGATCCTGACTGCTTGACAAAACTCCTATTCAACACCTTTTGTGTAAGTAAGAACTGCAAAATTCAGGCCCTGTCTATAAGATTAAGCAACTGCTCAATTAATTTCCCCGAAGTCCTTGAAAATTTTTGCTGCACTACATCCTCACTGTAATAATAAAAATAATTATTTCTCTTCAGACAAAAAAAAAAAAAAAGTAAGAAATAAAGGGGGAGAAAGAAAGAAAGAAATTCATCAGCACTTAAAGGATCACTTTATAGGATATCAGAATTGAAAGCAAGCTATAAAACATACAGGAAAAAAAATAAAAGGTTCTTTTTTCCATAGAATTTATAAGCCAAAGCTAAAAATAAAATCAGGTTTTGGCTTAATATTTTAACAAATTTAAAATTTGTAATAATTTGCAATAATGGTTATATATATATATTACTTTTTGTCATTCATAAAGTAATCAAGTTTTAACAAAGAACAAAAATATCTCTTCACGCAGAGGCATACGCTTTTAAGCCTTATTCCCTGTTGAAGTTGGTGAGCACTTACACTTCAAAAGCAACAATGCAATACAGTGCTCCTAAAAGGAGTGTTATAAACTGCATGTGTGACGTACTGGAGTAGTGTCCATTTCTCCAATATACATATAATTGCATATATAAATCATTATTTTCAGTCTTGCTTTTTTCCCCCTTGAGTGTTTGTTTGGGGCAAGATCACAAAACCTGTTGTTTGCATGACAGATTTGTCATCATCCCATTAATTTCAAACACATTTCAAATGTGAGTAAAGGTTACCCGTATGAGTTGTAGGATTGGGCCCGTAGTCTGTCATTCTGTGGAGCATCTCATGATCCTCGGTGTGCTGCTCCGGGGATGGACCATCACCTACAGCAAAGAAGCTTTTACTTTGTGCTCATCCGTGTTATTTGCTTGCTTACTGGTACAGAAAGTGGAATATTTGAGAGAGACTTACTAATTTAATTTCTTAAGATATGTCAAAATAAGTCATCCCAAGTATTGTTGACATTCGTTGTATGTCTACTTCAAAATTGATTGGGGTGGCTAACAACTTTCTGGTAGTTTTCTAAAATATTTCTTCAAAAGCAGTCCTTGAACATTTCAAGACAGATGATGAGATAGGTATACTTGGATTTGTCATTTGAAGA